GGATTGGGGCGCTGGGAAAGGCGGGATTGGGGCGCTGGGAAAGGCGGGATTGGGGCGCTGGGAAAGGCGGGATTGGGGCGCTGGGAAAGGCGGGAGATGTGCTGTGGGAAGGGGATTGGGATGCTAGGAATGGGGATTGGGACACTGGAAAAGGGGGATTGGGATGCTGGGAAAGGTGAAATTGTGATCCTGCAAAAAAGGGAGATGTGGATGTGGGAAGGGGATTGGGATGCTGGGAATGGGGGATTGGGACACTGGGAAAACGGGAGATGTGGCTGTGGGAAGGAGATTGGGATGCTGGGAATGCGGAATTGGGACACTGCAGAAATGGGAATTGTGTCCATGGAACGGGGGACTTGGGGCACTGGGAAAGGGGAATTGGGACACTGGGAAAGGGGGAATTGTGATCCTGCAAAAATGGGAGATGTGGTTGGGGAAAGGGGATTGGGAAACTGGGAAAAGGGGACTGGGACACTGGGAAAGGGGGAATTGGGGCCCTGGGAAAGGGGAAGTGGGACACTGGGGAAGGGGAAATTGTGTCCATGGAAAAGAGGGAATGGGAGTGGAGTAAATGGGAGTGGGATAATGGCAGTGGAATAAATAGCAATGGGAAAAATGGCAGTGGGATAAATGGCAGTGGGACAAATGGGAGCTTGTTTTGATGGCAGCTCTGGGTTCTTTCTCACCTCYTTGATGAGAATTTCTGCCACCTCCATGTGGTTGTTGAGAGCAGCGAGGTGCAGGGCAGTGAACCCATCCTCCTTCTTGGAGTCCACCAGCTGCCGAGCCCTGGCCAGAATCTTCTTGATGGCTCTGCAGAGTTGGGGAGATCAGCAGAGATGGAAGAATTAATTTAAAAATTGATTTTTAATTAATTTTAATTAATTTTCCATGTTTTCCCAGGCAGCACCACCAGCAGAGCAGAGCASTTCCTCAAACTCAAAAATCAAATTACAAGAACACAAGGAAAGCCCTAAATTATCATTGAATAAAGCAGGGAAAAGTCAAATTGCTTTGAAAATAATGAAGATTTATCCTTGGAAAGGTTTCAGAGGCTCTCAGGCTTTTCTCAGACCTTCTCCTGTCCTGATCCCAAAAATTTAAGGGGA